TAATTCTTCTTGTTGGATCTTCCCTTTCACCTTTATATAGTGGCCATCTTTGTCCTTCCTTACTTTGGATATTTTATTTTTTTGCAGTGTTTTTAAAATTTTTATTTTAAAAGTTATTGTACAGTAAAATTGACTGCAGTATACAGCATTATGACTTTTCACACATATAGATTTGTATAATCACCACTGGAATAAGCATACAGAACATTTCCAAATGCCCCACAAAAATGTCCAGATGCTACCCCTTTATCATCACACCCTCCCCCAATCCATGAAAACTAGCAACCACTGGTCTCTGTCACTATAGTTTTGTGTTTTTGTAAATATTATATAAATAAAGTCAAATAGGACATAAATTTTTGATATTGGCTTTTTTTCACTGAACATAATATCTTTGAGATTCATCCATTTTGTTGTATGTTATCAATAGTTCATTCTTATTCATTGCGAGCAGTATTCCATTACAAGGATGTACCACTCCATATAATACTCTCTCTTGTTGAAGGGCATTTGGATTGTTTTCAGTTCTGGGCTATTTTTTTTTATAATTTTTTTTATTTCAGGAAATTTTGGGGATACATTTTGGTTACACGTTATGATTTTGCCACATGCCAACCATGATTTGAGACGTGCCTTTTCTCCCCCACAATGCTCACCACATCCATTAGTTGTGAGTTTCCCACCTCCAACACTCCTACCCCAAAAGAATATTACTACTCTGTGAGCACCTTAGTGTTGATTAGTCAGTGCCACTTTGATGGTGAGTACACGTGATGTCTATTCTTCCATTCTTGTGATACCTCATTTTGGAGGATAGGCTCAAGCTCTATCCAAGAAAATATAATAAGTGGTGCTAGATCACCATCATTTCTTATAATTGAGTAGTATTCCATTGTATACATATACCATATTTTATTAATCCACTCATGGATTGACAGGCACTTGTGTTGTTTCCACATCCTTGCAATTGTGAATTGTACTGCCATAAACATTCCAGTGCAGATGTGTTTTTTATAGAATGACGTTTGTTACTTTGGGTAAATGCCTAACAGTACTTTTGCTGAATCAAATGGTAGTTCTACTTGTAGGTCTTTGAGGTATCTCCAAATTCTTTTCCACAGAGGTTGTACTAATTTGCAGTCCCACCAACAGTGTAAGAGTGTTCCTATCTCTCCACATCCTTACCAGCATTTGTTGCTTTGGAATTTTTTGATACAGGCCAATCTTACTGGAGTTAGGTGATATCTCATTGTGGTTTTGATTTGCATTTCCCTAATGATTAGAGGCCATTATTCTGTTTTCTTTTGTAAAGTTTCTGTTCATGTCCTTTGCCCATTTATTGATGGGGTTGTTTGATTTTTTCTCATTGATTTTTTTGAGTTCTAGATAAATTCTTGATATCAGTCCTTTGTTGGATCTGAAATGAGTAGAGGTGCCCCTGCTTTCTTTTGACTTCCATTTGTCTGGAGGATTGTTTTCCATCCCTTTACCTTGAGCCTGAGGGCATGTTTGTGGGTTAGATGTGTTTCCTGTAGACAGCAGATACAAGGCTTGTGGATTTTTATCCATTCTGCCAGTCTATGTCTTTTCATAGGATAGTTTAAGCCATTCACATTTATTGAGAGGATTGAAATTTGAGGTAGATTTCCATTCATATTGTTGGGTGAAATCCTATTGTTTTGTTTTACTCCTTGAGCCATCATGTAGTCAGGTTCTAGAGTTTAACTTTTGAATGATTTTATTTTGGAGAGTGTCTATTGCGCTATTCAGTGTGTAATGCAGGTCTGAGTACTTTCTGTAGGGCTGGTCTGGTTTTCGCAAATTTCATCAGTGATTGCTTGTCTGGGAGGTCTTTATTTTTCCCTCATAGATGAAACTTAATTTTTCCAGATAGAGAATTGTGGAATTCTAGAGAATTCTAGGTTTGGCATTATTCTGTTTTAGAAGATTAAGGATAGACACCCAGTCCCTTCTGGCTTTTAAAGTTTCAGTTGAGAAGTCTTCAGTTAGACTGATAGGTTTTCCTTTGTATGTTATTTGCTGCCTTTCCCTTACTGCTCAAATAATTGATTCTTTCATTTTTACTTTGGTCAGCCTAATAACTATGTGACGTGGTGATTGCCTTTTCACATTGAGTTTCCCAGGAGTTCTGTGTGCTTCTTGTATCTTGATATCATGATTTCTGGCCAGGCCAGGCATATTTTCCTCCAGTATGCCATGAAATAAATTTTCCAGCCCTTGTGTATTTTCTTCTTCTCCCTCTGGGGTGTCAATGATTCTTATATCTGGCTTCTTTATGTAATCCCACATTTCTTGTATATTTTGGTCTTGTCTCTTGTTTCTCTGTTCTTTTTCTTCATCTGGTTTGTTTAGCACATAGGCATTACCTTCAAGCTCTAAGATTCTTTCCTCTGCGTGATCCATTCTATTATTGAGGCTTTCCAGTGTGTTTTGCCATTCCTTGAATGCCTCCTTCATTGTCAAGATTTCTGTTTGGTTTTTGCAGAGTATTTCAATTTCTTTAGAGAATTTTTCATTCATGTCTTGTGTTGTTCTTGTGGTTTCTTTATGTTGGGATTCTATTTTCTCTTCAATTCCATCAAGTTTTCTTACAATCCATATTCGGAATTCTCCCTCTGTCAGTTTAATCATATTGTGTAAGTTGTTATCTATTGATGGAGATTGAATATTTTCTCTTGGAGTTGAATATTGAATATTTTCTCTCTGATCTTTCATGTTTCCTGTGTTCTTTAGCTGATTCTTTTGCATCAGACCACTTTGTCAAGGACTGGGGGGTGCTGGGACTGGTTTATGGACTTATTTCTGAGTCCCTGAAGGGACATTCCTTGACAATGCTGGGGAGATGCACTCTGTTCCTGTATTGTGTCAGAGGTGTTTTAGCCTGTTGTGTTATCTCTGACCTGTTGTCTTCACCTTCTGCTAAAGGAGATTAGTGAGTGTGGAACCGTTGCTTAGACTCCCAGGTGTTGGATCACTCTTGTGCGTGTGACTCCGCTGCCATCCACTAGTTTGAGATGGAAATCACCGTGTTGGCCTATGGGGTTACTCTCTCTTTTGTTGCTTGTAATTTGCATGGAGGAGTTGTTTATCAAGGTATTCCAATACCTTTGTATTGGGCTCTAAATCCCCAAATGGGATATACAAGTACCCCAGTCTTCGGAAAATGTCATGCCACTCCCAAGGGTTACTTGAGCCCTGTTCCCATTTTAGGTGGGGTGAGAAGAGCAGCAGGTACCAGCGAGCCTAAGAGTGTATACTTCTGAGGTTGCTTGATGTGCTGCTAGGGGAGAGCTGCTAATATGTTATTCAGGGCTCTTTCGCCACACTTGAAAAGCAGCTCCTGATGGGGGGTGTAAATTGGTGCAATTGCTAAGATCTCTGGTCAAGATTTTCCTTCCCAGACCACAAGCCCAAAAGCTGGCAACAGCCTGAGTGCCAAGGGCAAGCCCTTTTGTTATGATCTTATCAGATGATCAAAACCAACCCGCTGTACTGAGTCAACAATCTGTCCCCTTTTGCTTCATTCCAAGGTCCCACAGATTCAAGCCAGTCACACAGGGAAAGCGACTTTTCTCCTTTCTCCCTGCCTTCAAGGGTTGAGTTTGTCATATTGGGATGGGGGAGGGGCATTGGCTGAGGCTACCACAGGTTCCAGCCAGAAAACGTCTTCTCTCGTTTCTCCCTCACTCCAAGGGCAGGGTCTGCCCTGCTAGAGGGGAAGACAAGCCGCTGGACTGGGGAATGGGCACTTCCTGGGGCCACCGGGTGTCTCAGCCCAGGAAGCAGCTACTCTCATTACTCTGCCCCCCCAAGGGTGGGGTTTGTCTCATTGGTATGAAGTACACACCTCAGGGCTCCTGGAGAAGCCCTGCTCAGGTCCACTGAGGGCCTCAGTGAAGAAAGTGGCCTCCTTCACTACTCCACCCTTCCAGGGACGGGGTCTGTCCCTTTGGCGTGAAGCACCCCAGTGGCCAGTTCTCAGAAAAGGGGCAGCAGCTGTCCCACTGCGGGTCTCAGCTCCAAAAGTGTCCTCCTTTGATACTCCGCCCTTTTAGGGGCAGGGTCTGTGCCTTTGGCACAAAACCCAGGTGGTTGAGTGGGACAGGGGCCAAGACCGCCTGGCCACTCTGCCAAGAAAAAGGCTTCTCTCGATATTACACCCCTTCAAGGGCAGGGTTTGACCTGCCAGCCTGAAAAGGCCAGTGGCTGGGTTGGGAGAGGAACATTGAGAAAGCAGCTTCTCTCGTAACTCCCCTCCTCCAAGGGCGTGGCCTGCTCTGCCTTGCAGGGGCAGGGGTGTTGCCAGAGTCTGTTGCCTGGGCCTGCCCTGCTCTGCTGGAGAAGGGGCGGTGCCACAGCGTTTTTAGGCTATGGACCCCCAAAATGGTGGCTGCCCTCCCATGGAGAGCCAGCACTGGAGGTGACTGCTCGGCGGGCAGCAGGTGCTGGATTTAACAGGCTATCTCTAAGAGCCAACTGCTAAGCCCACTGCTTCCATAACACACTGACTCATGACTGTTCAGTGGGAGGGATCTGTACTCTGTCCCACCCTGTGCCAGCCGAATCTGTGGCGATTTCCAAGGGCAGAGCCTCCTTTATGGTGTTCACCTCCCTTGCTCTGGTCCTGGTGGCCTCCAGAAGTGAGAAGCCTGTCTCCAAGCTCCCTCCTGCAGGACCAGGAAGTGTTCACTTGGACCAGTCCCTCCCCTACCCATGGCGGACCCAGCACAGCACACTGGAGAGTTCAAAATGTTTCCTGCTCCTGTCTGTACTCCACACAGCCTGTTGTCCTGTGCTACAACTTCGCACTGACTTCAGGCACTTCCCTGCCTGCGTGGGTGTGGAGGTTGGTGGAGGAAGAGTAGTCCTCCTGTGGGTCAGATCACACTGCCCCAGCCAGCTGACAGGCACAGCCGTCACACGCTCTATTCCCTATTGTATATCTCGCACTCTCCAGACTTTGCGGTGGATTCTCCAATTCATTTTTTTTTTCCAGCGCTGCTTGTCTCGCGCTGCTTCTCTGCAGATTCATGATGCTGTTCCTGTGGGAGAGAGATACACTCATGTGTAGCTGTCGGCATTCTTCACCTCCTACTCTGGGATCAGAGAGCCAGGAGGTCACCCCTAACCCACCATTTTTCAACTCCCTCCTCTAATTCATATTTGCATCCTCCCTTCATCCCCACAGGGACACAGTAGGCACCCTTATGTTTGTTAAATTAACGTTATTTTCTTCCTTGTTCACATAAATTTTGCCAACCTAAATTCAAGACACTATGACTGAAAAAAATTAAATCATTGAGCTGTTTCCTATGAACTTCTTGTTCAAGAATTTCTAACTCTTACTTTGTGGTACCAACTACCAACTAGGCATTAGAAAAACATAAAGACCTGACAGTACAGATACTTCTGGAGTAAGACTATAACCATAAACCTAGGCCTCCTTTTGAGGAAGACAATAGACTTTCACTTCAGATTTATTCTTTATCTGACTAGGCTGCATTTCCTCTAACCACTATTTCATAATTCCCAATTTAATCAAACTTTAACTTCCATCATTAGGTAAATTTCAGAATGTGTTCTGCAATGGGTTTTGGGAGTTGAAAAGAACAGAAATCATCCTCATCACTGTTACCACAGATTGTGAAATCATAGCATCAGAATGGGCTACAAAGTGTTATCTAGGTCACTGGGCAGCTCTGTGCCTCCTAACTTTTCACTTCTTGCAAAATCAATCAACATTTACCAAAGTTTTTCATAATAGATGTCTAGGAGACTTGGGACTGGAGCTAATCAAAAGTCACTAACATTTTGTAAGAAATTACTTACTAAAGCCAAAGTTTCTGATAGGGAGAGTTATCAAAATCCAACATCAAGATAAGTCAAAGCCACAAGCCATCTCAGTGTTCCATGCCGATGCTTCCCTGCAGCGTTATTGTAGCAAAGAATAGTGTTGTGCTAAATACATTACATTCCTTCCTTGTCATCTGACTCTGACTGTTGCAATGTTTTTACTATAACTCAAAAACAAAATACTAAATCCCAAACTGTTCCCCATTTGTTTTTACTTTTTTTTCTTTTTTTTTTTTTTTTT